AATGTACCACAGGTGGTACCCGTACCACTGGTTGAAAAGCCCTGTCTTAGGTCATATAAGTGCTTCTTGCTTTCATTAATTGTTAAACAAGATTAAGTTGGTGTCCAATACGTTTATTCATTGTTGAAATATTGATGACATTCCACATTTCAGCTGATCGTTTTTTCTCTTAGGTTGGTCATGTATGTGTGTGGAAATACTGGTCATGGGCTGTGATAATAAAGAAGCCAGATTTACTGCTCGTGAACCAAGTTGCTGGAACATATTATCCAATTGCCTTCATTATTTAGTTTTTGCTAAGAAAAAGCTTAGTACTACGTAGGAACTCCTGACATATTCTTCCCAAACTTCAAACCTTGGCTTAGGACTGGGATTTCAGAGTCCAGTCCTTTTTTTTTGGGGGGGGGGGGAGAGGAATAAGTACTCAACCTTTTCTGCTTCTATTTCGGGAATCAAATCCAGTAGGAAAAAACCCCAAAAGGACAATATGTAGGATGCAGCAGCCGTAATGATTTTTCAAAATGTTGGCTTCTGGTTTGGATGAGCATGTAAAAATGGCTGGGTTAGAATGTGAGATTTTCACCGTAAAATCATGATGGTTTTACTGCTTGCCTGATGACTACAATACTACGTTTAATTAAAAGAAAACAGCAACTTTCCTTTAGAACTGGATATTTGCGAGATTGGGCAAAACGCTCTAGTAAAGAAGAGTTAGCAGTTCCTTTCTAATTTAGGACGAAAGGAAAGATTATGGGAAAGGATTAGAGGATTATGTAGAGCAAAGATTAGTGACTTCAAAGCAAAAAGTTAGGAAAATAAGAAAGATAAAAACAGCGTAATGCATCAGAATTTCCATAAGATTGGGTTTTTTAAAAAAAATAATAATGTACTCAAAAATGAATATGGTATTTTTTTATGTGTTGTTAACGAAGGGGATAATTATGTGCAAATATCCTATTTCACGTCTTACGCTGCAGCTGGGGACCTCTCCACTTCATCTAGCAGCACAGTATGGACACTATTCAACTACGGAAGTGTTATTACGAGCAGGAGTAAGTCGAGATGCAAGGACCAAAGTGGATCGGACGCCACTTCACATGGCAGCTTCAGAAGGCCATGCAAGCATTGTAGAAGTTTTGCTTAAGGTAAAAAAAAAAAGGTTTCCATTTATTATCACCTACACCAGAGTTGAAACAGGACATACAGTGGTACCTTGGCATTCATCGTTAATTGGTTCTGGGACGCACGATGAGTGCTAAGTTATTTTTTTTTTCTGATAAGGAATAATGTGTAATGCAGAGGTCCCCAATCTTTTGGGCACCACAGACCGGTTCCGTGGAGAGAGGTTTTTCCGCGGACCGGAGGGTGCGTGGTTTTGTGTGCTGCCTGCATCCCGTGGATGGAGCTTTGCTTGTTTGTGTGTACCGGTTGCTGGCATGCTGCAGCCTGGTACCGGTCCATAGACCGGGAGTTGGGGACCCCTGATGTAGTGAGTCACAAGGCAGCTGACACTGACAAGTTCTACTTTGTACGTTGAGTACCAGGATAAACGTTTCATGTCAAAATGTGTTGAATATCAAATTAGATGAGTTTCAAAGCAGTTGAGTACCAAGGTGATTACTATCACTGTAATTGCTAATAGGCTGAAGATTCTTTTTTCTCCAGTATCTAAAGGAGTTAGTTTTTTAGAATATTTCCCGGCACCAAAGAGGCACATGGGAAGATATTTTTTTTTTAAAATATCAAATGAAGGATGTAGGAGAATCAATAGCACCATTTGGTGTATGTACAAAGTGGTTTCCATTTGTAGGTAAGCTGCCTAAAATCAAACCATAGGAACAATATGATTTAAATCCTATATGGCGTATTAAAACACCTTTACATTCAAAGCCATGATCGACAATTTGACAGTATGTTCAAATAAGTTTTCTATAACAGGAAAAAAAAACAAGGATAAAAAAATATAATCTAAAAAAGGACAGCTTAATTTCCCTAAGTTATGGTTTCACAATTGCCTTTTCTAACCAAAATAATTTTTCATGAAACTGCCCACCCATTTCCTGTTTCAAGGCCTTCCTTCTATTTCGCTTTCTGAAAATTCTACAGCAGCAGTCCAAAATCCTTTTAAAAAATTGCTTGCACTGAAAATTTTAGACTTTCCTTTGCGTTATCAGACTAATAATAGTAGTTGAATTCTTATCAACGTTATTTTTAGATGAAGAGATTTATTTCTGAAGCGAAAAAATGACTGAAGTCATGCTGAGAGAGGCACACGAGTCACTGCACACCAGATTTTTATCTCCTGTTGTTTACTTTCCAAGATCAGCTGTTTTGAGAATGTGTCTGCCCAACAGCTCAAGGCAATAATGAATTCATTAATTACATTAATTATATCTGCAGTATATCGTCTTGGAGGGGAGGGGGAAACTGACAGCATAAACAAAGTTTAAAAGGAAGGACACAGTTTTAAAAATATATATTCCAAGCAATGCTGACTCTAAAATTAACTTTGACTGCCTCATTCCATTTTGAAAAAAAATTTAATTGAATATGTTTTGTAGCATGGTGCAGATGTAAATGCAAAGGACATGCTGAAAATGACTGCTCTGCACTGGGCCACGGAACACAGTCATCAAGAAGTAGTGGAACTCTTAATAAAGTACGGAGCAGATGTCCACACCCAAAGTAAATTTTGCAAAACTGCGTTAGACATTGCCATAGACAACGGATATGAAGACATGGCAGAAATTCTACAGGTAACTCAAAACTCACTCCAGCGAGGCTTTTCCCAGACTCTTGTAGCTTAATCTTTAGGCCAGTGGTGGCGAACCTATGGCACGGGTGCCAGAGGCGGCACTCAGAGCCCTCTCTATGGGCACGCGCACTATCGCCCCAGTCCTAGGCCTTCAGCTGGGTTTTATAAAACCTTTTCGCTTTAGGCCTCCGCTGCCATGTGCAAAAAAAAAAAGAAAGGTTCAATCAGTCAATTTCAACTTCTCGCGGGGAAAAAAATAGTTCTTGCAAAGTTGGAATGGATTGATTGAACTTTTTAGTCCCACCCAGTCTGCCGTTACCACTGCAGCCACGCCCACCCAATTGGCCACGCCCACCCAATTGGCCACACCCACCCGGCACTGAACGATGCATAAGTGGGTTTTGGGTTGCAGTTTGGGCACTCAGTCTCTAAAAGGTTCGCCATCACTGCTTTAGGATGTGGTTTTATATATGATTGACTCCCTGGCTCTCAATCATTTTTTTGTTTATCATCATACTACATGCCTGGCTGAGGAATTCTGGGAGTTGAAGTCCACAAGTCATAAAAGGGCAAGGTTTGGAGACCCCTGTCATACTATATTCCCTCTTTCTCTGGACCTTGAAGCTAATGCAATTATTCCGAAGACTGTCTGCCAGATATTTTTCCATGTTGAATAGATATTAATAACAATGCACTGTGCATGAGCTATTGGTTACAATAAGCTGTTGATTGCTACTCTGTCTGAAATTTAATGTGTAATTTCTGAACATCTGCTCTGTATTATATTCACCTTAAAATTCATTCCCCTTCTTCCCCCCCTGCCCCCCTCAAATAAGTGTAAAAACAAAGCACCATTGTTTTTTTGGTCATAGATCGCAATGCAGAACCAAATCAACACGAATCCAGAAAGCCCCGATACAGTGACGATTCATGCAGCCACGCCTCAGTTCATCATTGGACCTGGTGGCGTTGTGAATCTAACAGGTAGGAATTCGTATCGCATACAGCAGAGAGTCACATGCACCGAGGATTGCAAATTGCCTTCTCACTCTATTAAATTGGGAATCAGGTTGTGCTTTATCCATGTCAGGAGCACTTTAAAATGATAGACATGCAACATTCAATACTGAGCAAGTAAAGTAAGTATAAAATAGGTCATAGAAATATATCATGACTCAGCAGCACTTTTTCGTGCGGCTGCTGATAAAAACAGGATCGCCAACTTGATCGCCAACGTCCGATAACGGATATGGCACAAGAAGAAGAAGAAGAAGAAGAAGAAGAAGAAGAAGAAGAAGAAGAAGAAGAAGAAGAAGAAGAAGAAGAAGAAGAAGAGGAGGAGGAGGAGGAGGGGGAGGGGG